GGCGGGAGCGGGGGTCTTGATTAAATTGCGAGGTAGTCTTGATTCAATTGCGAGGAAGTCTCAAGCGAGAACGCCGTTCCTGAGTAAATTGTGAGGAAGTCTCAGATGGGAGCGGGGGTCTTGAATAAATTGCGAGGAAGGCACAGGCGGGAGCACCGATCCTGAGTAAATTGTGAGGAAGTCTCAGGAGCGGGGGTCCGGAGTAAATTTGGGAGAAATCTCAAGCGGGAGCCGTTGTTGTTGTAATCCGGGGGGGCCAGGGGCCCAGTCCGAGCACCAAGACTTTCCCTGTCAAAAACCAGGGTGCGAGCGTCGAGGGGCACACTCTGATTGAGAAAAACAGCGTGCACTGGTGAGGGGGATCAACAATAATGATTCTTCGGAAATGAGACTTCAACAACAACAACAACAACAACAACAACAACAACAACAACAACAACAACAACAACAACAACAACAATCATTTAAGACTGGGGACACTCCGTTCTCACCAGTGCCAGGGTTTTCATAGGAGGCGGGCAATACCCCCACTTTGTGGGGGGGCCGGTTCAAGCTCTACCAAATTTCCAAACGACTCTTCGCCACCACCCACACCCAGCTTCCCGCCCTATGACGTTCGGACACTTCACTTCGTGGCCTGCGGACGACCTTGGCTACTACACTGGCGCATGGTTACAATGACTTCTTGTGGTAACATCTTGTGGAAACTAGCTTAGTATACGACTTATACCCCTGTTCCAACAATGGGCACGTGTACCGTTTTCCGACGTTTTAACGTTTCTGTACCACACAAGCCAAGACCCTTATTTTGACTGGTATCACGTGCGTGGCGCCAGCATACCACAGGACTTGTTTCCGTTGTTGTGAGACGATATATGCTCATTCTTGTTCTGTGGTTCTCGTTCCGGCCTCAATGTGCAATACTGGCTCACTCGTCGACGAAATACACGTGACTACCTCTCTCTGGTTGGAGGTCCTGATGGTTGTGGTTGTCCCGATAATTGTCGCGATGAGTGTCCCGATGATTGTCCCGATTGTTGTTCCGATGGTTCTCCCGATGGTTGCCCCGATGGTGGTCCCGATCGTTGTCCCGATGGATGTCCCGATGGTTGTCCCGATGGTTGTCCTGATGGTTGTGGTTGTCCCGATCGTTGTCCCGATGGTTGTCCCCATGGTTGCCGCGATGGTTGTTCCGATGGTGGTCCCGATGGTTGTCCCCATGGGTGCCCCGCCGGAGGAGGAGGAGGAGGAGGAGGAGCAGCAGGACAAGGCGAGGCGGACGCATACGTGCTCTGGAAGCATCCCGCATGGTATTATTTGACAGGGATGATGGCCCTGGCAGGTGCGCAACCGTTGTCGCAGAAGTTCGAAAAAGTTGCTCGCAAAAGCCCGTTTGACAGAAATGTTTAAAAAGTGTTGGGTTTCCTACGAATCCGCAAGAGCGCGCGGGATGAGATTTTGACATTTTTTTGTTGAAAAACCATTGGTTTTTTGATGTTTTTATGTTAAAATCGCTCCGAACACTAAGCTTTTGGAAGGATTTCGTCTTGCGCGCGCGAATGTCCACTTTACCTTATTTTTTGCAAGGGATTCTTGAAATTTGATTATATTAGAACAAGAAATGTCATTTTATAGTGTTTTTTGCAAGGGAAAACGGATTACAACAAAACAACCGGATCTGGATCACATCGTTTTACCTGAGGCTTCCTCACGAAAATGATGAAAATGTAGCTGCGGCCTAGGCGGCGCAGGGGGGGCGCGCACCAGGGGGCCCAACAATAATTATTCTTTAGAATAAATAATGTTCAACAACAACAACAACAACAACAACAACAACAACAACAACAACAACAACAACAACAACAACAACAACAACAACAAAAACAGCAGCAGCAGCAGCAGCAGCAGCAACAACAACAACACCGACACCGACACCGACACCGACACCGACACCGACACCGACACCGACACCACCACCACCACCAACAACAACAACAATCATTATACGACTGTTCACTCTTACTTGCCCGTGTGTCCTTCAAAACGAATTCCCCACACCCTCGATACCCGCCTTTTTGTCTTCGATCACACCCCCTTTCGGGGGATTATTTCTCTTAACGGGCGGACAATCCTTCGTGGGCGTACATGAGCCCGCCATTTGAATTGGTGTGGGCCTTGCAAAAAGAGGGGGGAGAACGAGGGAGAGTGGGAGGAAGGGAGGGGGAGGGACGAAGGAAAAGGGAAAACGCCAGGAGAGAAGGAGCGAAGAGGGGGGCGGTTGATTAGAGGCAGAGAGAGAGAGAGAGACACAGATAAGAAAGGTAGAGAAAGAGAGAGAGAGAGACACAGAGGGGAGAGAGAGAGAGAGAGAGAAAACAAAAAAAAAAAAAAAAGGAGGGAGGGAGGAAGCAGGAGAGGGGAGGGAGAAGGGAGGAGGGAGAGGAGGGAGATGAGATAGGGCAGAGAGGCATAAGGATGAGGGAAGAGAGGAAGAAGAGAGCGGGAGGAGAGGAGGGAGGAGGGAGAGGGAGGAGCAGGAAGGTAAGAGCGTGAACGTTCGAGGAAGTCCTAGGCGAAAGCGCCGTTCCTGAAGGAAGTCTCGGGCGGGAGCCCACGACGGGCGGGCGATCCCCTGACGGGCGGGTCGGGCGGATGGGACATTCAAGCGGGATGCCTGAATATGGCGAGCGCGCGATTATTAAGTAAATTGTAGCGGCGTCCTTGGCGCAGCGTGTTTCCTGAGAGTCGACAGCGCGATTTCTGAATAAATTGCATGGAAGTCACAAGCGAAAGCGCAATTCCTGAATAACATGTGAAGGGTTCTCTGGCGGGAGCGGGGGTCTTGATTAAATTGCGAGGTAGTCTTGATTCAATTGCGAAGAAGTCTCAAGCGGGAACGCCGTTCCTGAGAAAATTGTGAGGAAGTCTCAACTGGAAGCGGGGGTCCTGACTAAATTGCAAGGAAGTCACAAGCGGGAGCACCGATCCTAAGCAAATTGTGCGGAAGTCTCAGGCGGGAGCGGGGGTCCTGAGTAAATTTGGAGGAAGTCTCAAGCGGTAGCCGTTGTTGAACATTATTTCTTCTTAAGAATAATTATTGTTGGGGCCCCTGGTGCACGACCCCCCCGCCGCGCCTAGGCCGCAGCCACATTTTCATCATTTTCGTGAGGAAGTCTCAGGCAAAACGGGTTGGTCCGGATCCGGTTGTTTTGTTACGGCCCGCTTTCCCTTGCAAAAAATAAGTAAAGTGGACATTTCTTGTTCTAACATAACCAAACTTCAAGAATCCCTTGCAAAAAATAAGGTAAAGTGGACATTCGCGCGCGCAAGACGAAATCCTTCCAAAACCTTAGTTTTCGTAGCGATTTTAACATAAAAACATAAAAAACAATGGTTTTTCAAAAAAAAAATGTCAAAATTTCATCCCGCGCGCTCTTGCGGATTCGTAGGAAACCCAACACTTTTTAAACATTTCTGTCAAACGGGCTTTTGCGAGCAACTTTTTCGAACTTCTGCAACAACGGTTGCGCACCTGCCAGGGCCATCATCCCTGTCAAATAATACCATGCGGGACACATTCGTTTTTTCTTCGCGCGCGCACGCCGTCGTCGTCGGCCGCGGGGCCCTGAATAGTAGCCACGGTCGTCCGCATGCCACGAAGTGAAGTGTCCGAACGTCATAGGGCGGGAAGCTGGGTGTGGGTGGTGGCGAAGAGTCGTTTGGAAATTTGGTAGAGCTTGAACCGGCCCCCCCACAAAGTGGGGGTATTGCCCGCCTCCTATGAAAACCCTGGCACTGGTGAGAACGGAGTGTCCCCACGTGCTAGTAATTGTTGTTGTTGTTGTTGTTGTTGCTGTTGTTGTTGTTGTTGTTGTTGTTGTTTTTGTTGTTGTAATCCGGAGGGCCAGGGGCACAGTTTGAACACGACGACTTTCCCTGTCAAAAAAACAGGGTGCGAGCGTCGAGGGGCACACTTTGATTGAGAAAAAACAGGATGCACCGGTGAGGGGGGATCAACAATAATTATTTTTCCGAAATGAGAATTCAATGGCTCCTGCCTGACACTTCCTCAGCAGTTCTTCAAAATCGCGGGACTTTCTCACAATGTATGCAGGAATCGCGCTCTCGCGTGGGACTTCCTTCCACTTTATTGAGACGCCGCGTCCTCGACACTCAGGAATCACGCCCTCTCGATGGACGTCCTCACAATTGTGTTTGGAATCGTGCTGTCGTTTTAGACTTCCTCGCGATCCATGCAAGACTGGCGCTTCAACGACCCACCCGCTCGACCCGCTGTCTGGGCCCGCCCAACCCTTCCGGTAAGGTCCGTTCCGCCGCTTGTTGTCCCGCTCCAAACCCCCATCTCGATAATCTCTCTCGCGCTCCATCCTTCTCCCTTTCCCTTGTCTCTGCCCTCCTCCGTCCCCTCCCCCGTTTTAGGGGCTGCGCCAACTACACGTGGCAGGTAAGGAGAGATGTGCCCCCAAGGGGGAGAGGCACGATCGAAGACGAAGAGGGAGGGTATCAAGGGTTCGGGGTAGACATGTGTCGAGCGACACGCGACACGAGAGCTCAGCAACAGCATCATCAGATTCGTCCTCCCCAGCAGCCTCGCGCGCCCTCCCGCCTCGCTGGCAAAGCCCCCGCCTGTCCGCGGCTTAAGCATCCCCCCCACAAAGGGGAATCCCTCCCTTACTCCCTGCCTCGTCCCCCTCTGGCTCCACCTGTGAGCATCGTTTTACCGATCCCCATCCCCAGCGGCGCGGCCTGGGCCCCACTGGCCGATTTACCTCCCTAGATGGGGATATAGGCCGTTCCCTTCGGGTTTCGAGGGGTGTATCCCCAACTGGGGGGGTAATTTTGTGGGGGTCTCGAAGGGGATGAGGATGGGGATGGGGGTCGGTTAAGCGATACTGAACCTGGGCCTCCGCCCACAAGCAGTGCAGGAGCTACTGCGCAGCAAAGGGAGCCACCGGGGCGCGCAGCGAGAGCGGCCTGGCCTCATAATGTCCACGTAGGCGTTGTGCCAGTATATCTTCGGCAGGATCTGCCGTGCGACGGACTGGGGCTCCTCGATGATCTGGGACGGGTCGTCCTTGTGGTGCGAGACTGGGATGACAGGCGTCAGGCGAACGTTCTCCCGCGGATCGAGGAAGTACCTCCCCGCGGCACGCGCTGCTCTCGGGGGCGGGCCGTCGCAGAGGAGGGGAGAGGAGCAGACACAAGAGGTACGACAACACACACAATCACAAACACAAGCACAAACAAACACAAAACACACATGCACTTTTGGGATCGCGGCAACACGCGCGGCGGCGCGGCGTAGAGCAGGTCACACGCACACACCCATTCCAAGCTGAGGTGGTAATGCATCTGGGCGCCAGGATCTCTCTCCCTCTCTCTCTCTCTCTCCCTCTTGCTTTCACCCATCTCGTTACTCACACTTCCTGTGCCTACGACCACTTGCCGTCCTCGCTATTGAAGCCAGGTGTAGCCAAATAATATACTAATCATGTACGGGGAAGACACCACGACACAGATGTGCCATGCGCAAAGTATGGCTTCGCGGTCGAATCTGGCTAATTGTGCTGCCTCTGAATCGGGCGCGGCTCTATCACTTGCTACGCATAATGCACTTCGTTGTCACGCGTCTCTCCATCTGAATGTCAGAGAGCCACTGGCCCACGGCGCCTGCTCACATTCGAAAGTTTTGGTATCTTGCAGTGTCTCCCTTCTCTGTCTTGCGCTGGACTTCACCTCACCATGCGATCATGTAGCAACCCTCCCCGCACATGTTGAAAGGCTCATGGTCGTGCGGGGTAACACTCCGGAGGCTGTCATAATCTTCGTCTTCGTGCTTCAAGAAGAGCTCGATAGCAGCGTCCACGGTCTCCACTTTCCGACATCACTCCCACTTGCGTTTCAAATTCTGCGTACGACCTGCAAAATAATGTTCCACACTAGCGCTGTATACTGGGCCTTTCGCGCTGAATCTGGAGGCGTGCGCGCTATGGAAACACAACGCCCAGGCTGTGACATCATCTATGTTGCCTCGAGGCTCGGAACACGAGGGAGTATACCAAAACTTCTGGCTCTGCAATCTCTGACTCCCTATCCGTGTGGAAACTTGCATGTGTTTTGCCACGCGCCAAGCTGGCTTCGAACCAATAAGAGGCGAAACTCGCACACAATAGAACTCGAGTGAATCCAGCCTCCCTCTCGGTCCCCTCTTAGCACTTCTGCTGCGCTGGACCACTGCGGTTTGATGCAAAACCTTGGGGACGAGCGCTGCGCCCAACGAGCAACACAGTGACCGATGACACGAGCCAGACGAGAAACCAGCCCTCGCCTCCTCTTCCTACTCCTTTTCCTCCTCATCCTCGTTCTCCTCCTATATTGCCAGCCCCCTTTATCATCAGCATCATCACCATCACCATCAGCATCACCATCACCATCACCATCATCATCATCATCATCATCATCATCATCATCATCATCATCATCATCATCATCATCATCATCATCATCATCATCATCATCATCACCATCATCATCATCATCGTCATCATCATCACCATCATCATCATCGTCATCATCATCACCACCATCATCACCACCATCACCACCATCATCATCACTGTCACCATCAGCATCATCATCAGCATCATCATGTTCATCATCACCCTCATCATCACCACCACCATCATTACCAGCATCATCATCATCATCACCATCATCATCATCAGTATGATCAGCATGATTGGCATCATCATCATCAGCTTCATCATCAGTGTTATCGTCATCACCATCACCATCACCATCATCACCACCACCATCATCATCATCATCAGCATCATCATCACCATCATCGTCATCATCACCGGTATCATCGTCAGCAGCATCTGGCGAAGGATTCAAGAGCGGGCAGCCGCCAACGCACAAGCCACGCCTGGCGGCACCTCCACCCACGGCAGCCGCAAAGGATAAGGACGCAGACAAGCAGGACGAGGAGGCCGAGGCAGCACAGCCGCAGATACGCGAGAGACGCGGAGGGAGGAGAACAAGGCGCGGCGACCACTCGGAGAAGCAGTGGACGAGCAAGGACAAGCACCTACTGCCGCTCCTGAAGTCGACGCTGAAGCTGGTGCTCCAGACCGCACACCGCACGAAGCTCAACAGCTCGTTGGCCACGGACACCTACACATGCCCGAAGACTCACGTAGTGATCGACAAGGTGAGCAACGAGCTGGAGGTCTGCAAGAACATATTAGACTAGCTGCGCCACGGCACAGCAGAGGACACGCAGAGGACGAAGGAGATCGGCTCCCCAGCGCCCAGCATGGGCCTCGCAACGTCAGGGGGCCTCCTGCTGTGCGACGTCGGAGGGGCTCTGCGCGCGGAGGTTGAAGAGTACCTGAAGAAGACCAGCCCCCCCGACGAGAACATGGAGTGCGAAATGTGCAGAGAAGACCTCGCCGAGCAGATCAGCTGCATTCGACTCGACAACTGTCACGATACGGAGAAAATGAAACGCACCATTGGAGCACCAGAGTGGGAAGGCAGGAAGATCATCGTGAAAGCATTCCGCTCCGAAGTAGCGGTCACACACCATCACGGAATAGCGCCAGCGGGATGGCTCGAGGACGAGGTGGGACACTGGTTGGAGACGCTGGGCGTATCATAAGATTCGTGCGCGGAGATGTGCTTCCTGGAACCTCGGGGATATCCCGCCCTGCGTCCTCTTCGTCGCCCGCTCGACATGTAAGGCTCACGCCTGCCACTCAGCCTGCCCCAGAGTCTGTAGCTAGACCAGCGTCTGCGACTCGACTTTCCTTTCTCAGCTCCTCGACGAGGCCGTTTTCGCCGCAGAGGAGGAAGCAGCAGAGTTTCTGCGCCTATAGTCCCACCGCTCGCTGGCATGCCAGCTCCTTTGTGAAGCACCCAGCGAGTGTCGCCCCTAGCGGGGTCAGCCGAGAGATATCTCTTTGCGACGGGCCAGATTTTTGTTATCCCAGACGAAATAACAGATCATCTACCTTTAGCCCTGACGTCGGGGAAAAGAAAACATCATCATCAGCATCATCAGCATCATCATCGGCACCAGGATCATCATCACCACCATCACCACCACCATCACCGTCATCATTATCTTCATCATTATCATCACCATCATCATCATCAGCATCGTCATCATCATCAGAATAATCATCAACATCACCATCACCATCACCATCACCATCACCATCATCATCATCATCATCATCATCATCATCATCATCATCATCATCATCATCGGCATCAACATCATCAGCATCACCACCATCATAAGCATCATCATCGTCGTCATCATCCTCACCGTCATCGTCATCGTAATCGCCACCACCAACACCATCATCATCATCATCATCATCATCATCATCATCATCATCATCATCATCATCAGCCTCATCTTCATCACCAGCACCATCATCATCATCATCATCATCATCATCATCATTATCATCACCACCATCACCATCACCATCACCATCATCATCATCTTAATCATCCTCATCCTCATCCTCATCCTCCTCATCATCACCATCCTCATTATCATCATCATCATCATCATCATCATCATCATCATCATCGTCATCATCGCCGTCGTCATCTCAGCATCATCCCTCCGCTCCCCCTCCTCCTTTCCAAGAGCCCATGGAAGCCGAAAAGGTAATGCGTCCTCAAGGAAGGTGACGCTCCGTCTGAGAACTGCGAGAGCTGCGCGCCGGAGCTTCCAAGGGCTGAAACACGTCCCGCCGAAACGAGCTCCCTGCCAGAAGGCCCGAAGGAAGCCAGTTGTTCCGGGCCGTCGGCGCGCCCCTCGTGAGAACACTCCAGGCAGCTAGGGGATCTGGTGCCCGACAAAAATCACAAATCGCACCTCACAAGGCCGCGAGCTCTGAGCAGACCGCGCTTATCCGAAAGCCGCCAGGGGATGATCAAGAAGCCCCAGCACTGCTCGACGCTTCCATCAGCATCAACCAGCAAGAAGGTCGCATAACTTCGCGCATCGCGCCTCGCGATGCGCGACGCGTGCTTAGCTTCGCGCCGCTCTCAGAAATGGCTTCTCCCCGGCCCAAGCCGCGATGCGCGCAGCGCGCCTATCTTCACGCCGCCATCGGGTGACCGAGAGCAGAGATCGCTCGACCGATACGAGGAAAGCGCACGCGAGAGAAAAGCGGCACAAGGCAGACCGCAAACCCGAACCCCTCCTGCACAGTCAGGCACGGTGCAGTTGGCCTGAGCTGCACGATAAGAGAGGGCTTGTTGTGGGGCTCGTTCTCGGCCATCCAGCCCAAGAAGTGCTCCATTAGCTGGAAGTCCGTTGCTGTGTCATGGGAGATTTCAGCCGGCCTCAAGAAGGGTACCTCCAACTCCCCGCAAGCGGTTGGGCTTGCACGAAGCACTTCCACAGAGAAACCATCGCTTTCCCTATCCCCCTTTTCATCCCTCTTCTCCTACTGATCCCAGTCAACCCCTCTTCCTTACAAATAACTCCTCCCTGTCGCACCCCCAATGTGTCAGTAGGGCCGGCCGGGCGTTTGACCTGAGACTTCCTCGCCATCTATGATCTTGAAGCTTAAAATTTACATTAGGTTCACGGATGGAGGGCGGGTCACTTTCAAACTGTGGCTCTCGCTGTAGAACCGCGCACAATCGTCTGAAAAGTTCGTGACAGTTTTAATAATGGAGAGCTGCTGATTTTCAAACTGTGACTCTCGCCTGAGTGTCACTCACATTTGTCTTGAAAGGTTGAAACCGCTTCAAAGATTCGTCGCACGGTGGAAGTCCCAGGAATATTGTTGTGGTACAGTTTAGGATTGTCAAAACGTAAAAGTCACGTTGCGTCGCGGCGTTGAAGTCTCACGAATGATGTTCGGGCAAGGCTTAATTAAGACTGTCAGGGCGCAATCGTCGCGTTGATTCGCGGCGCTGAGGTCCCCAAAAAAGTGTTTTGGCACGGTTGCGGGTTCTCAGACGGTTGTCTTCAAATTGGCTACTTCGCAATGTTTTTGTTTGGAACTCGCGAAGCACCAACCGACGTCCTCAACACACTGTCTCCAAAGTCGGGCTGCCGGCTGCCGAATACATGCAACTACGCGCTACCCGCCAGGCCCGTAGCAAAAACCCTGGACTGGAGCAGCGAGGCAGATGCAAATGAATCGGAATCGGTGCACTGGAGCGGAGAGAGGAGGAGGAGGACGAGGAGGAGGAGGAGGAGGAGGAGGAGGAACGACGTACCCAGCGAATTCGCGCCAGCGGCAAAAACAATGAACCTTGGAGCATGGAGGCAGCTCGCATCTCCATCCAACATTGAAAACCCATCGAGCTCGAATTGCAAGCAGGTCAGGGAGGAGGAAGGGCGACGACGACGAGAAGAGGAAGGCAAGGAGGCGGCGCAAAAGGAGCGCCAAGCCAAGAGGGCGAAGTGCCTATGAGCAAATGCACTTCCCTGACATCTGAATGCGGCCCCACCGCATATGGAAATTGCCATTTTGTTAGCGTAGCCGGCCGGCTACACAAAACAGTGTGGGCTCGTGGCGACTCCCTGGCCAGGGAGCGGCGGGCGCGACCGGGCTGTCCAACACCAGCCACCTCCACCTGCACCGGCGCAGGCGCCAATTACTGCACGGAGAACGGGCTTGCGGGGGAAGGAGGAGGAGGAGGAGGAGGAAGACGGAGGACAAGAGGGAATGGGGATCACTGCACGCTCCTGCGGAGCGTTCCGAATTGTCGTGAGACGCGCATCCGAGCGTGCGATACGCAACCGCATGCGATAAGCGTGGGAGACGCCACTTTCGGCTGGGAGTGCGAGAATCATAAGCTGGCAGCCAACCAACCCTGAGCCAACAAATCGTGCCCCGGGGGGGTCCCGAGCCAGAATACCATCCCCCCCTGGCGATCCCTCCCTGGGCTCTTCTCCTCAAGCGCGCGCCAGTCACAACGAAAGTGAACAACGTCGTAGTTGAGTCGAAGGGAAGCCCCTTCTCTTTGATTCCTTCCCCGCCGGAAGGGGGGGGAGGGTCCCGGGTCTGTGGGGGGAGGTCCCGACCCAGGATACCATCTCCCCCTGGCGATCCCTCCCTGGGCTCTCCTCAAGCGCGCCAGTCACAACGAAACGGGGGGAGGGGAGGGGTCCCGGGTCTGTGGGGGGGGGTCCCAACCACCCAGAGTACCGTCTCCCCCTGGCGATCTCTCCCTGAGCTCTCCTCCTCAAGCGCGCCGGTCACAACTCCTTCCCATCCCAGAAAGCCTCCTAGAACGCCCTTAGGCCACCACAAATGGCCCCCCAGGGGACCCAAAGAGCACTCCAAAAGCGCCCCCAGTCGGCCCACGCCGCCATCCTCTGCGCACCCATTTCCGTCGAGAGCCCAGGCCTCCAGGGTCGGCGGCACTGGCCGTAAGGCCTTCGCAATAGTAATACGATGCCCCTGTGCACATGCATATATCACATATACAGCACATGCCTATATCACATATGAAACAGAAGCTCGAATGCATGACTGTGACGTGGCTTTGTCACAGCCGCACCAGCTAATTCGTCTCAGCTCAACCTAGCACGGCCGACCTTAGCTCAGCGCAACATGGCCCTGCTCAACTTAGCCTGGCCTGATCGGATCACGAATCACGGAACGCCTTGAATCTGCTGAGATTGATTCGGGCGAGCTAATCTCAACGAGCAGGGTTCAACTCATGTATCCCATACCGTTGGGCCGCGACTTCCCTGTAGTAAGACGGATTCCCTCGAGCACGCGAGATCTCGCGCAACTGAAACAACTGACCTACAACAACCCCTGCATGAGCCTCCACCTCCAAAGCACACGGGCTTAGCTCCAGAATGGAATTAAAACGCTTCAGAACCAGATGTGCCAACGCGCAGCTCGGAAGTGTAGCCCCCTATTGGGTGCGCAGCCCGTGTCTCTTACCAGCTGAGGCCTGGGGCTTGGATATGCCCCTCTACACACAATGGGGCTGGAGAGCGTAGCCAGTTGAGCCTCGGCATCTCTTCCTCCTCCTCCTCCTCCTCCTGCTACTCCTCCCCTTCCCCTCACCTGCTCCTTCACAGCTGTTCGGGATTACGGCCATCAAGTGCCTTGCCGCTCTTTTCGAGGTTAGGGGGGCACCCGCGTGGGCATCGGCTGTTCGCGTCTGGCCAGCAAATGGCCTCGAATCGCGCAGGTGGGTCGGGCGCGGTGGGAGACCTGGGGAGGGCTAGGAGAGCAGGATGAGAAGGAAGTGCAGGGAATGGACAGGCAGGAGGAAAGCAAGAGGAGGAGGAGGAGGAGGAGGAGGAGGAGGAGGAGGAGGAGGAGGAGGAGCAGCAGCAGCAGCAGCAGCAGCAGCAGCAGCAGGGAGAGGATGAGGACGAGACGGAGGAGGAGGAGGAGGAGGAGGAGGAGGAGGAGGAGGAGGAAGAAGATCCGGGAGCAGGGGGGAGGGGACGATTTATGAGCATGAGGAAGAGGCCGAGCAGGGAGGAAGAGAGGGAGGCGGGGGGGGGGGGCGGCACGGTATGGATTATACATAGGGTGGAGTGAGGAGGGGAGGAGATGAGGAGGAGGATGATGATGCTGCTGATGATGATGCTGCTGATGATGATGATGCTGATGATGATGATGCTGATGATGATGCTGATCATGATAATGATGATGGTGATGGTGATGATGATGATTATTCCCAAATCAGAGCTTGCCTCTGCAGGGGTCCTAGCGGATTCGTACGGTTAATTCGGTTAGCGATAGCGCCGATTTCCGCGGCACGCCCGGGTGCCTGGGTGCCTGGGTGCCCGGGTGCCCGGGTGCCAGGGTGCCCGGGTACCCGGTAGCCCTGTAGCCCTATAGCCCTATAGCCTTACAGCCTTCTACTCTGTGTCCCTCAATAGTTCCGGGTCCCTGGACTACAGGTACCCCCCGGACTACAGGTACCCTCTCCCCGGACTACAGGTACCCCTTCCCCGGACTACAGGTACATCCCCCCGGACTACAGGTACCCCCCCCCAACGGACTACAGGTACCCCCCCTGGACTGCAGGTACCCCCCCCAGGACTACATCCACGCGTGCGTTGACGCGTGAACACGCGTTCCCCCCCAGACCCCAGACTGCAGGCCTCCCCCCCCCGGACTGCAGGTACCCTTTCCTCGGACTACCCTGGACTACTGGTACACCCCCCCAGACTACAGATACCCCTGCCCCGGACTACAGGTACCCTCCCTGGACTATGAGGGTGCGAAAGTGTTTATTTAAGGTTTTGGTTCTCAAATAAGCACATTGGCCTTATTTAGCACCTCAGTTGCTAAATAACACTCCCTGTCTTAAATGAGCCCTGAGTGCTTATTTAGCGTTTCGGGTGCCATTTAAGGTAATTACCCGCGCGCTCGCCGCAAAGAGGTCTTATTTAAGAACCTGGTGCCAGGTTGCAAAAGTGCAGGCGGATCTTCACTGTCCCTGGGCGCGTTGCAATCATGACACTTCTCGTTGTCGTAATCACCCCTCTCGCGAACCGGCCCAAGCCCCCCCCCGCCCTTCTCCCCCAGTAACCAAAAACGCCGACACGCGCATGCGGCCCATCGTCCCCAAACGCCTCGTTCCTTCGAGGGCCTCGACACCCAGGCTGATGCTTGTGAAGCGAGCTAGGAGGGTGGCACTTTCAAAACGGGGCAAGATCGTGAATCTGAAACTTTTCCCAAGACGGCCTGGGAAGGGCCGACAGAAATTGAAGAAGGCCCAGTGACGGCCCCGAAAGCTTCCCAATGCGGCCACGGAGGACCTTCGAAGGAGCCTTTGATGAGCCCAGGGCGAACGCAGCGGCGTGTTCGTGTTTCCAACAAGCTTGTGGTGTTTGATCCCCGTTTTGAAGAGACGGTTCCCCGAGTTCGTCCTCTCCTCGTCCTCTCTTCCCTCCTCCTCCTCCTCCTCCTCCTCATCCTTGTCATCCTTCCCCCCTCCTCCCTCCGCGCCTTCCTTTGTTCGGCCCTCTGCATGTCACCCACTTCGGTGCGCCCTTCGTTCGTGGTCACATCGGAGGCCCCACCGAAGGCCCCAGTGGCACAGTCCACATGCGTCCCCACCCCCCCGCCCACAGCATGCCCATTTCGGCACACCCTCAGGCCCCAGTGGCACAGCCCACATGCGCCTCCCCGCCCACCGCACGCCCATTTTCGGTACACCCCTCACAGGTTTAGTGGCCCCATAGGAAGCCCATCAAACTCCCCAGTGCCACGGTCCACGTGCGCCTCCCCGCCTGCCGCATGCCCATGTCGGCACGCCCTATCACGCGCTGCGTGGCCCCATCGGGAGTCCCACCGAGGGCCAAAATGGTACAATCCACGCGCGCCTCCCCACCCGCCGCATGCCCATTTCGACAGCCCTCTCACGCGTTTCGTCGCACCACAGGGAGCCCCGCCGAAGGCCCCAGTGGCACAATCCACATGCGCCTCCCCGCCCACCGCACGCCCATTTCGGCACAACGCTCAGTGGCCACATCGAGAACCCCACCGAAGGCCCCAGTGGCACAGCCCACGTGCGTCTCCCTTCCCACCGGATGCCCATCTCGGCACGCCCCTCACACGTTTCGTGGCCCCATCAGGAGCCCTACCGAATGTTCCAGTGCCAGAGTCCACATGCGCCTCCCCTCCCACCGCATGCATATTTTCGGCACGCCGCTCAGACGTTTCGTGGCCCCACAGGGAGCCCCACCCGAGGCCCCAGTGCCAGTCCACGTGCCCCTCCCTATTCGCGCGCTTCGTGGCCCCATCGGGAGTCCCACCGATGGCTCCAGTGCCAAAGTCCACGCGCGCCTCCCCGACCACAGCATGCCCGTCGGGAGCCCCACCGAGGGCCCCAATGGCAGTCCACGCGCTCCCCGCCCCCCCTGTCCCCCGCCGCCAACCGCGCGCCCATGTCGGCACATTCCTCGCACGTTTCGTCGCCCATAGGGAGCCACACCGAAGCCCCCAGCGCCAGAATCCACATGCGCCTCACCGCCGACCGCACATGAATGTCGGCGCACCCCTCACATGTTTCCTAGCCACATACATAACCCCACCGAAGGCCCCAGCGGCAGAGTCTACATGCGCCTCCCCACCCACCGCATGCTTATCTTCGGCATACCCCTCGCACGTCTCGTGACCCCACAAGGAGCATCACCGAAGGCCCCAGTGGTACAGTCCACTGCGCCTCCCAACCCACCGCATGCCGATTTCAAATCCCTCGCGCATTTATTTCGTGGCCCCATAAGAAGCCCCACCGGAAGCCCCTGTGACACGGTCCACGTGCGCCTCCCCGCCCACCGCATGCTTATTTTCGGCACACCCCTCGCACGTCTCGTGGCTCCCCAGGCAGCCCCACCGAAGGCCCCAATGGTACAATCCATCCACATGCGCCTCCCTGCCCACCAGATGCCCATGTCGGCACACCCTTCTCGCGTTCCGTGGCCGCCATGGAGAGCCCCACCGAAGGCCCCAATGGCTGCGTTCGCATGCGCCTCCCCGCTGTCGGCCCCAGCCTCTTTGCTCCGCGCAACGGACGACCCGTGCGCGTCGCCTGCGTCGCATGCCCCCCCCCAGGACAACCGGCACGCGTCGCAAGGGCTCCGCGTTGCACTCTGCCCAGAGCCGTAGTGACCAGGGCCCGCTTACACAGAGGGGAAAACATCTGAGAATGCAACATGCCGCACCGCTCCCCCCCCCCCCCCTATCCACCCTACCCCGCCCCGCCCCACCCCGCCCACCACTTTCCTACGCGCCTGCCCGCGCTGCCCCACACCGCGTTCCTCGTGCGGCGCGTTACCCATGAGAGTTACATTGGGTTTGCGCGCCCCTCTCCTTCGTCACATCCCCTCGCGGCACTCGCAGCTGCAGATGTATGGGTCCATCGCCAGGCAAATGTGTTGTTTTCGGGCGTAGCCCGAAGTTGTTTTTCGCGAGGTAAGCTCGAACTGAACTCCATTGGACTGGACTGGACTGGACAGGACTGGACTCAACTGAACTGACTGGTCGCACTCGTTGCGCGACGGTTTTATTTTCGGCCGCTGAGGGCGCGACCTAAGGCGCAATCGATAGGAGAGGCCGCAGAGAGCGCAAGCTATGGCGCAACCGTTAGGAGACGGCTTTACTCTCGGCCGCAGATGGCGCAACCTGCGGCGCAACCGTCAGGAAACGGCTTTCTTCTCGGCCGCCGAGGGCGCAACCTCTGGCGTTACCGTTAAGAAACGCTTTTTTTCTCGGCCGCAGGGGGCGCGACCTATGGCGCAATCGATAGGAGACGGTTTTTACTTTCGGCCGCAGATGGCGCAAGCTGTGGCGCAACCGTCAGGAGACGGCTCTGTTCTCGACCGCCGAGGGCGCAACCTGTGGCGCAACCGTTAGGAGACAGCTGTATTCTCAGCCGCAGAGGGCGCAACCTATTGCGCAATCGATTGGAGACGAATTTTATTCTTGGCCGCGAAGGGCGCGACCTATGGCGCAATCGTTCTGAGACGGCTATATTCTCTGCCGCAGGGTGGGAAACCTATGGCGCAACTGTCAGGAGATTTTTTATTTACGACCGCAAAGAGCGCAATCTATGGCGCAACCGTCAGGAGACGGTGTAATTCTCCGCCGCAGAAGGCGCAAACATGGAGCAACCGTCAGGAGACTGGTTCCTTCTCGGCCGCCGAGGGCGCAACCTGTGGCGCAACCGTTAGGAGAAGGCTGTATTCTTGGCCACAGAGAGCGCAACCCATGGTACAACCGTTAGGAGACGGCGTTCTTCTCGTCCGCCGAGGGCGCAACCTATGGCGCAACCGATAGGGGGCGGCTTTATTCTCGGCGGGTGAGGGTGGAACGTATGGCGCAACCAATAGGTGACGGTTTTATTCTCGGTGGATGAGGGCGCAACATATGTCAAGGTTGCCGCCTGTGCCGCCGACCCCAGAGGACAATGCCACGGACCCCAGAAAACAACTATGGAGGACAAGCCGCGGATCCCAGAGAACAACTATGGGGGGTCCGTGACCTGGTCCGGCGTTGGGCCGCTCTCTTAAACCGCAAGCGGGCCGGCGATGGCGAGGAGAACCAAGGTACCATGAGAAGGGGGATAAGCAGAAGGAAGAGGAGAAACGAGGACGAGGTCCTAAAAGAGGACGACGAGGAGGAGCTGAAGCAGGAGGAGGACCCTATAGCCCCGTAGCCCTACAGCCTTATAGCCCTATAGCCCTGTAATCCTATAGCCCTATAGCCCTATAGCCCCATAGCCTTATAGTCCTATAGCCCTCTAGCCCCGTAGCCCTATAGCCCTAAAAAGATTATGATTGGGTTTCTCTCCGGTCTCATGATGATGAAGGTGCTGATGGTGCTGGTGGTGATGATGATGATGATCATGATCATGGTAATGCTGATAATCATGCTTTGTTGTTGATGATGATGACGACAATGGTGATGACCATGATTCCCCAATCAGAGCTTGCCTCTGTAGGGGTCCCAATGGACTCATATGGTTAGATCACGTGCGCCGCCGACATCGACGGCACGCCCGGGTACCCAGGCGCCTGATAGCCCTGTAGCCCTATAGCCCTGTAGCCCAATAGCCCCATAGCCCCATAGCACAATAGCCCTATGGCCCAATAGCCCCACCGCCCTATAGCCCTACAGCCTTATAGTCCTATAGCCCTATAGCCCTATAGCCCTATATCCCTACATCCCTAAAGCCCTATAGCCCTATAGCCCTATAGCCCTATAGCCCTATAGCCCCATAGCCCCATAGCCTTCTAGCCCTATAGCCCTATAGCCCAAGCGCCCTATAGCACTATAGCCGTATAGCCGTATAGCCCTATAGCCTGGTAGTCTTGTAGCCCTATATCCCTCTAGCCCTACAGCTCTATATGCCTATAGCCCTATGGCCCTATAGCCCTATAGCCCTATATCCCTATAGCCCTGTGGCCCTATAGCCCTATAACCCTATAGCCCCATAGCCCCCTAGCCCCCTAGCCCTGTAGCCCTACAGCCCTATAGCCCTATGGCCCTGTAGCCCTATAGCCCTATAGCCTATAGACCTACGGCCCTATGGCCCTGTAGTCCTACAACCCCATAGCCCTACAGCCCTAAAAATATTATGATTGGGGCTTTTCTCTGGTATCATGAGGATTCGTACAAAATATGAAAAAGATGGCGATGGTGATAGTAATGAGACGGAGGCGGGGATGTGAAAGGACGTGTGGTACGGCTAGAACTTGCAAACGACCAAATTGCAACTTGCTAGACACTGACCTCCGAATACGGCCCCCATTCACCTGGATTCGTAAACGGAAATCCGGCCATACCGAATACACACTCAGGCGTATGATGAGCCTTGGCATTATGTGCCGTCCCCCCCCCCTCCTCGGCTCCACATTTCAACGCGACCTGGCGGTACTCCTCGCTGTCCGTGGATACGAATACTCGCTTAATATACTTCGATTTGAGTCCATTCTCAATCTGCCAGCCCATCAATGGCTTCCCACAGAAGTCTCTGATGTTCTTGCCCTTGACACCTCCGGTTCCGCCGACAACTATGACAAGCCGACACTCTCTGCGCTGACATGGGAAAGACTTGCTGTTGGCTTTTTGATCGGCACATGGAGGATCCAAATGTGTCTAACGGCACACCGTGAGCCCACTACCTGCAAGTGCGGACAGGGCTGAGAGAGGATCCTGGGCGCCATGGGCAGTGCTGAAACAAGCGAACAACAATTCCGCAAGACGAACCAGCCACGCGAACAAATTTGCCTGACAGTGGAGTCCAGGAGTGTGACGAACCGCTCCTGCAACACAAAACACTTGCCAGTCAGTGGAGGCCAGAAGGAGAACGGGGGAGGAGGTCAAGAAGGGGAGGGAAGGAGGAGAAGGAAGAGGTGGAACAGGAGGAGGAGGAGGAGGAGGAGGACGAGGAGGAGGAGTGGGAAGGGGGAGGAGGAGGGGGAGGGGGGGGGGATACTTAGGGGGAGGGGGGAGGGGAGGGGAGAAGGGTGCAAGAGGGAGGATGCCGACGGAGAAGAGGAAATAAGACCAGAACGGCAGAGGCGCTCCTTGATCCAGCGCGCGTGCATCAGAAGGGCCCCTGCATTCATGGAGGAGCGCCCCCCCCGTGACCCCTCTACTGCCTGTGCCTCGCAAGGTCCCTACGGTGTCCAGTGGCCGCCGGTGGCCCCGACTAGCCCCCAATGGTCGCGCGCCCAAAAGATGATGAACGTTGTCTCTCTCTCTCTCTCTCTCTCTCTCTCCCTTTCTTTTGTTCCTACCCACCGCGCGCTCTTCTTCCGAAACACTGGGCAAATTACTGGCGCAAAGTTAGAACGCTCTTCTTCCGAAGCACTGGACGAAGTACTGGTGCAAACTTACCCCCGTATACAGTCGTCGCGCTGGGAAGGCACCGTGGGCATCGCCCGACTGCCTGTCAGTCTGGGCACCCACATAACCTGGTTGAGCGACCGCAAACAATTCCGTTACACAGTCTCGACTCCAACGAGGCGGAGAAGGAGGAAGAGCAAGAGGAGGGGAAGAGCAATGAGGAGGAGCAGGGGGGGAAGAGAGCAGCACTAAAAACGATACGAAAACCCCAAGATGTCGTATCGGCCCAAGCCAGAAGGCTGGAGTCCCGAGAGCGCGACCGACGGCGGTGCGCCTAAAACATGGTGAACATTGTCTCATTCGGCGTTTCGACATTGGGCGGAAAGGGGGGGGCTGGCTCCGCACTCTTGCTGAATGCGACCGTTTGCAACCGTGGAGACTCTACCTGCTTGAAACAGACGCCAAAAACAGCCAAGACCTACTCCACGGGGGGGGGATGTTGCGAGGGCCTGCGCCGATCGGCAACACAATGAATAAGAAAACGATTCCATTCGGTCGCCAGCTCCTGCTTTTCTGGAACGCCTCAACGGCCGCGTGCCCAGGGCAGCAGGGGATCCTGCTCCACTACGAGTCCTCACTGTTGATAATCCGCCGCCCGCCCTGGGTTCCCCCG